AAACCTCGCCATTCGTCCGTTCTTCGTCCAATCGACCCCAGACTCGCTCCTAAGCCTTCATTCACATACTAGGACCTGAAACATCACAAACAAGCACAACCTAGCGTGAAATCGGTCTAAACCACGAGAAATCACATCTCAAATGGTGTAAGAACAGGGGTAAAAACATGTGTAACTAACGGTCTATCAAACTCCCCCACACTTAACCGTTTGCTTGTCCCCAAGCAAACCTAACTCAAACCAATGCAACTCTCCAGACCTCTATAGCAACAAACAACCCAGATCGTAGGTAGAGGGCTTCCTAGATCATTTAGCAGCTTACGAGGTCAACCGGCGCACAAGTCATCTCATAACTTCTTCGGCGAGTCGGCATCATGGCAAATAGTGAACAAAGGACAAATGGATTGTGGATGAAGAGATTCTCAAAAACAAAGGATCATGGACTCACATTTTTCAAGGTGCTCTATTTTCTTCTTGAAGATGGTTGAGACCCCTTTTTTTCCTGTTTTGCTTGTTTTCTGATATTTTTCTTTTCTTTTCTTTTTCAAGGGTCCCAACCTACTCTTACCGGCCATGCCAGGAGCGGATGTCTCGAGCCTCGTGCGGGGGAAAGACATGTAAGGGGGCTGGAGGTAGTAGGTGGAAATTGGGAACGAATTCCCGTCTCCCCTTACACATTTTCGCCCTATTCGCACGGGAGACGTTTATTTTGAAGCACATTTTCGAGCACCTGTTATTTTCAAAACATGATACAAGAGTCCATGACAGGTAGAAAATCCACAACACCACACAATTCAAGGGTCCTAAGATCACTAATTCACTCAATCAACCAACTTTATATGAAGAAGAAATGAGACTTCTTAAATGCATCAACATCCTCCATAGTGCTACACTACCTCCCTAGGTTGCATATTACTGTAAAGACTGTCAATTCAAAGCATACTGAGCAGGCAATTGCATGGAACACGTACTTGGAGCCCTCAAATTTAAAAATTTGGACAGTGGACTAGGCTCCAAGCACACAAACAGCCAAACATTCACCCGCATACATAATCGAACATCCCCCCACACTTAAGCACGACATTGTCCTCAATGGAGGAAAGATAAGGAGGGTAGAACGAAGTTACCAGATCAAGGGTGAATGATGATGAACGGGTCAGGCGGTGCATTCCAGGAAGAGAGAGTATTCAGAACACAAACACCACACAAAATCTCACAAAGGTTGAGTTATTGACTCTAAAATCAAATAACAAAACTGACTCAACCGAGGAGAAATAGAGAAAGAGATGCAAACCGACTGGTTGGGTTGCCTCCCAACAAGCGCTTCTTTCACGTCGTGAGCCGGACGATGGCTCCTAAGTTTCGGTCCATGCTAGAACCTCCTTGAAGTTGAGGTTCTCGTCGATAAGGTGGAGTCTCAAGTCACGAGCATGTGGTGTGGCAGGTGATGAAGGCTCATGTACTTGATGCAGATGAAGTCTCCACCCTCGAGACCTCTTCTTCTCTTCTCTCGTCTCATTGCCCCAAACCAGATATGACAGCATCGATTGGCCACCATCGCGTCCACCAAGAGGGACCGATGTCGATGTGGCCTTGGTCTGGCAAAAAGACACTGCAAATGGGTCCTTGCCAAGCAGCTCCTCGAAGGTTGGTGGAGATATCAAATGTAACATAGGGCCGGTGCAAGCCTCTTCCACCTCAACTTCATCCTCAGCCTGGACGCCAATTGCTTCCTCAACCCCCCTTTCTTCTTCAAAATGTGCTCTCTCCCCTGGGAAAAGATCAAGAACCACCTCTTCTTTTATTTCTTCCTTATCATCCACAACTTCCTTCCTCATCCTTGCTCGCTCTTCTTCTTCTAGAACAGATTGGAGAGCAAGTCGCCAAGCAATTTCTTCAATGGGATCATCTTGCATCTCCTCGCACGGGCCCAGCATGTTAGAGCATAAATGAGGAAAGGTGTGGTCTGCAACCAAAGGACTTTCCTGATCATGATTATCATAAGAGTTCTCTGTGATAACTTCTGTATGCTCCTCAACGCTCCCATAGCCTTTGTCATCCTCCATCTCTTCTAGCGTGGTAGCAGAAAGGTGATCTTGAGCAAGATGTGAGCAAACTTGCTCCACCCACTCTGTTTGCTTCGCTGAGCGCTGAACAGTCTCCTCCATATCATGGAGAAATGAGGGATCGGAAGCAGCAAGGGCTTTGATTTGAAGATCCATCTTGGAGCAGGCTCTCTCAGTGTCTCGAGCAAACTGCTCCACGAGAAGCCTTAATTGTTTGTTCGGATCTTCCAGTGAAGTGTAGCATGGCTCTGCAGAGTGGCCAGTGAAGGCCGCCATGGGTAACTCAAGATCTGATGGCCCTTCTTGTTGTGGGAGGAATTCTTCTTGATAAGGAGATTGTTCTTGATATGCCCAGGGGTCTGGTTGTTCTCCGTAGAAAGGGGGTTGGTACTGGAACCCGAATCCATAGTCTTCTCCTCCTTGATTGCTCCAGGGAGTCTCGGGGTAATACCACTCGGATGGTGGTGGATACCCCCAATGGTTGGAGAAGCCATGAGGATACATGATTCAGATCTGCACCAACAAAAACAAAAACACCCAATTGAAAAGCAAGGGTGGAAAAGAAAAGAAAAACGCTAAAGTAACAAACTTCTACCTTTCCTAATACTCTAGAAAGTCCCCGACAATGGCGCCAAAAACTTGATGCTCTAAAACACAACACCTAACAATGGCCAAGTGTAACCAATGAAAGGGACTGCAGTATAGTGGCACAAGTAATAAATATCGAATCCACGGGTCTCTAGAGTTACTATTACTCAGCTTCAGTTCATTATCTAGCAAACTAGATTAAGGATTGATTAACTAAACTACTCTACTAACTAAACTAAGTAAAACTACTAATTACAGTTTGGGAACTCACTTAGGTATGATTCCCCCTAGCTCCTCAATTAGGTCCAAGTTGTAATTCATTTTGGTTGATTTACTGTTGATTAAACTGCGGAAGATCCGACAGTAGCTTGGAATCTCTTAAGCTGACCAAGCCCTCTCAGTCTAACTATCCGGCAGACGACTAGTCTTCACCGGGATAGAAAGCTGAAGCAATAAGCACAGAACTCCACTACTGGAATTAGATTCCAGTACAGAGCAGTAAACTGGCTAACTCTCGTATAACCAGTCTCCTACTATCGAATGATGAGACTCTAGCAACCTAATCAGATTCAATCTATCTCAGATTGCAGCAGGAATCAGGAAAAGTTGATCAAACTTCAATTGACTCAATAAACATGCATCATTCGATTATAATCAAACAATATAGCATCCAAAACTTCATACAAGAAAGATCCTAACTCATGGAACTAGGGTTCCTCAAAACCTAAGTGAAAGGAAGTTACTCCATAGAGAAGAGAGAGACTGCAGAAATCTGATCTATATCTTCAATCTCCATCTCCAAGCTTGATTCCCGAGCTTCAATGGCGAAGAAATCCTCCAAAATAGCTCCAAGAATGTTCCCAAGTCGCTCTCTCTCTCTAGGGTTCGTCCCTTGGGTGTTTGGGATCCAAAACCCAGCTCTCTTCTTCTTTGGTTCGGAATTTGGCTTAAAACCAGGAAATCCCGACTCGCACGGCCAGGGTGCACGGCCGTGCATATCACCATTCTGGCCGTGCAACTCAAAACGCAGCGTGTCATTTAGTCGAACTTCAGCCCTCTCGCACGGCCAGGGTGCACGGCCGTGCGAGCTTCAGGGGTTGCCCGTGCGTGTCCTCGGCATAAGGCGCACGGCCATATTGCTCACGTGCACGGCCGTGCAGCCTCCCTGGTCTGCCCGTGCAGCTCCCCAAAAACCTCGCCATTCGTCCGTTCTTCGTCCAATCGACCCCAGACTCGCTCCTAAGCCTTCATTCACGTACTAGGACCTGAAACATCACAAACAAGCACAACCTAGCGTGAAATCGGTCTAAACCACGAGAAATCACATCTCAAACGGTGTAAGAACAGGGGTAAAAACATGTGTAATTAACGGTCTATCAGTGGGTCCCGGGACCCACCCTCTAACCTTCTCCCTCCGCCCCTGACTATACATACATATGCATGAGGGTGAAAGTCGTGTTATGTTACCCTTCAAGTACCACATCGTCGTGGGATATCTACATAGTCCAATTGGTAAGAGGGCCTTTTAGAAAGTAGCCCAAAAGTAAATTCGTGCATGTTTGTCCTAGAGCGCACAATATTATCATTACAATTGTCATTTTCGTTGTATATCTGATGTGGTACTTGGATTGTACTATACTAATCCTCCCCTCAAAACAATGATCACAAACTTCGCGTCTTCCCCTCTTCTATTATCTTGATCCACCAAACATATTGTATCGGCAGACTTTCAATGCAAGGGTTTGCCTAATGAAGATCTCCACTTGATTTGCCATATTGACACATATCTCAAATCCTTAGGTCACCAAAGGAGGATCCACTGAACTAAAGTCCATCGTCCTGAATCTGTACTCCGAAACCATACTCTAATACCACTTCGACACTAGCTCTTTGTGTTAGAATGATATGGTCCGCTTTCGTCAAACCCAAATTAAATTATTTTTTTATAGTGTGCTCTTAATTTGAGCTAGATGAACACTAATATATATACGAGCGTCATTTCCCTCATATCTCCAATGTAATACTTGGATTGCCCATAACAATGTGCAATAAAGCTGTTGTGCATTGTCTGATGACTGATGCCTAATCTCTCCTCAAATGGTGCCTTCCAACTCAAGCAACCCAACTTACCATTTATTAAAACTAGCTTAGGCACAGACCTTGCAGCACAGACCAAATTCCACACTACCCTTGCTTGCTTAGGTCGATCGACTTTTTGCTCGATCGATCTCTTTTTGTATTATATTTGAATTGCGAGAAGAAGCAACTGCATTGTTTTTGCAGCTGTGCCTGTGGGTGGTGGTTGAGTACTTGAACCATTTTCTTAATGGAGTGCCCAAACCGAACACGCTATTCAATAATCTATTATCATCACCTTAATTACACATTAACAAATCAAACTTCACTACTGAAGAGAACAGTACAACTAACTGTTCTTATAGCCGGATAAGGGTTCCTAATTACGTACGAATAGAATTTACAAATTCAAATTAAAAAAACCCGCTCAAAACTCAACGACAAAAAAAAACCCAAAAATCCAAAGATTCCATTGCACGAGCCATACAACGCCAAAACTAATCAACACTCTAATCAAACCAAACCAAACCGAAATTAATCAAGGAATTAAGACCCGCACTCCCGGTTAGCCACTAAATCAAACAACCGTCAAAGAGTTTTTCAAATAATAATCTCCGGACGGCTGCACGGTTTCGGAACTGAAACCTGCCACACCCTAACCTCCCCGTCCAAACTCCCACTGTAAACCCAAACGACGCCGTCCTCACCCTCCACCGCCGCTAGCGACTTCACCGCCTTCTTATGCCCCTCCATAACCGCCAAACAACCGTACTTGGCGTCCACGCTACTCCTCCGCCAGATCCTCACCGTCCGATCCGCCGACCCGCTGATCAACAAATCGCAGACGTTGATCAGGCACAGCACCGCCTGCCCGTGTCCCCTCAGCGCCCCGGTGACCGCCATGTGGCTCGCGCTGTCCTCCCTCTCCCACACCAAAATCGACCGGTCGCACGACCCCGAAAACAGAACCGATCCGTCGTCGTTTAAAGCCAGCGCGTTGACCGCCGACTTGTGCCTCTCCAGGGTCGCGACCAGCGCGTGCCTCTGCCGGGTCGGGTCGGGTTTGGACCAGACCCGGATCCGACGGTCAGCCGACCCGGTGTAGACGGTGCCGTCGGTGGAGACGGCAACGGCGCTGACGGCGTCGTCGTGGGCCCGGGGGATGGAATCCAGGCAGCGGAGCGACGACGCGCTCCAGATCTTCAGGCTCCGGTCCCACGAGACGGAGTAGATCGCTCCACCGCCGCCGCCGGCAAGAGCGGCGACGGCGTCGGCGTGCTGGATCTTGAGGATCTTCCTGTGGCGACGGACGGTGACGTAGCTGCTCGGGAAGGCCAAGTGGCGGAGCTTGTCGGCGGCGGTGGGTAGCGCGGCGAGGAACTTGTGGCGCCGGCGTTCCGCCGACGGTTTCCAGGCGCGGATCTTGCCGTCCTGGTGGGCGGAGAAGGCCTTGCCGTCAAGAAACGCGACGGCCTTGACGGAGCCGCCGTCGGCGGCGGAGGCGGCGTCGTTGAAGGACTCAAGGAGGGCGCCAGTGGCGCGGTGGTAGACGGTGATCTGGTGGCCGGAGGCGGCGTAGAGGAGGTCGCCGTTGACGACGAGGCAGGTGATTGGGAGGTCCGGGCGGGGGCGGAAGGTGTTGGAGCAGTGGAAGTCGGCGGCGGTGGGAGAGGCGGCGGTGGTGGAGTAAGGGGCATAGTCGGCGGGGGATTTTTGGAGGGAAGGAAGGGAAGGGTGGGTTTGGAGAGAGAGATTGCTCTGGAGGCTACTGAGGCTGCTGGCGGTGGAGGAAGAGGAAGAGCAGGTGGTGGTGGAGTCGTCGGAGAGGGAGACGGCGGTGGCGGTGGCGGTGGTGGAGGAGCAGAGGCTGCCGGTGATCCATGACTGATGACGTGTCATGGTTATTAACTAGATTCGGTTGGAGAAAGGAGCGAGTGGGGAAATGGGATGTTTAAATAGATGGGAGGTGAGGGAGGCAGAGGAAGAAGCTGTAAGAGAAGTCTAGTAGCTTTCAATTACAATAAGCAATAATCAAATTTTTTAAATGTAAGTTGATTGAATAATTATTTATTAATGTCAAATTAAGGCATTAACCAATAATATCAATTAGTCGAATATACTATTATATTGAATCACTATGCAACAATTTTGTTCTTGTTTTACCTTTTACCCATGAGAAGGACTACAGTACCACAAATTAGAAGAGAATAATCAAGAGAAAATTTACCACGTTCAAATTCCAACCTTTTCAAATTTGACTAAACAAAATTAGGTAAACAATCCCCTATTCATTTTTATCCAGTAACTTAGTGCATCACTCTTATTTCATGTGTATCGCAAGGAACACAAACTATAAAGTATGTACGATTAAAATGAATTCTTACATTAATATTACGACATAAGAAGGAAGGACATTGTGTTGATAACTAAAAGAGAAGTAGTAAGAAAATGAAACAAATAAAGAACATCAAGTAAATGTAAAACGATCTCTAGGTCAGTCAATGATCTTCATAGACTTAACTGATATTCATATAATCAGTCTTTTTTTCCCTCCGATTCTTAACATGTTAGTTTACATCCTCTGTCAATAAAACCGTTACCTCTTATATATTTCAATACCTTCACATACTGATAGTGTGACCGAGCCGATTAGTCTTGTAGTGTTTTTGTAATTCAAACCAAATGATTCCTAGTGATAGCCCCTAAAAGAATAATATTCCGGCAATTCGTCAACCTTGTTTTCGGTGAATGCTTGGTCGGACGTAGTAACGTGCAAGATAAGGTGGAAACCTAATTTTTGGGCGGCCGGAATGGAGATGCTAGATTTCTGCTATGCTGTTGGAGGAAGAAGTTAAAACCGTTGCCGGATTTGTGGAGACAAAAGACATGGTGAAAATCCCGTTGCAGTTTGAATCTGCCAGCCAAATGGTTCTATTAAGCCTGCTAATTATATCCTTCAGCTGTTGGCATTAAGGTATGGCAATATATTCCATCGGCAGTTTACGGCCAAAATTAGTAAAAATTCTTGCATCGGATTATGCTGTTGGACGAAGAAAGTCCTTGCATTTCACGATTAGATTGAGGTCAAGAATAAGCAACTTGTGAGTAGGGGTGGCAATTCGGTTGTCGGTTAGCGGTTAACCGGTCGGTTCAATCGATAACGGCCGGTTAGCGGCTAACCAAAAACCGACGAAATATAACCTCGGTCGGTGGACGGCAAGGAAGGGTGACTGTTCGGCTAGCTGAGTAACTGGTGACAATTAACCGCGCTAACCGAGCTAAACCCAATCAATGCCAAACGACACCGTTCTAGCCCAATCCCCCACAAAAATCGAAACCTAATATCACTTCTCTGCCTCTCCTCCACCCTCCAAAACCATTCGTTCCGCCACCGTCTCCCGTCCCCCGACCCGGCCACTCCGCCTGTCCTCTCCTTCCGACGAACCCGACACTCCGCCCTTCCTCTCCTCCACTCGCCCCCACAACCACGGATCTCCAGTCCGCCGATCCTCTGCTCTGCTGTTCGCCCCCTTCCTCTTCCTTTCCTTGTCGCACCCCCAAGAACAAAAACCCAGAAACTAAAAAACCCAGGTGGCTATGTAGGAGGGAAGAAGTCAGATCTCTTCGATCTGGTTGGAGATGCAGCCATGCAGGAACCATGACGAAGAAGGTGGGGATCTGGATTCTGGATCTACAGATTGGTGGGTGCGGGGGGAGGATTAGTGACCAGTGGAGACGTGGAGGGAAGATAGGTCGGAGGAGATTAAGAGTTGCCGCCGTCCTTCCTCTCCGCGAGTAGTCATCGCCGTCCTTCCTCCTTCTCCGACTTTTTGTTTGCGGCGGCGGGATTGTTGGGTGGCTGGGTGCGATACTGCGACGGGAGGAGAGTGGAGAGATGAGGAGATGAGGAGAGATGACGGGAGGAGAGTGGAGAGATGAGGAGAGATGAAGAGTCTCACTGTCTCCATATATCTCCATTTTCTTTTTTTGTTTTTAGTTTTTTAGGTTTTCCTGTAATTAAATAATAAATTAATGATTATAAATAATAATTTTTTTCGAATAGTCAATTAACCGCGGTTTAACCGTTAACCGGTCGGTCGGTTTGCGGCAAACCGAAGCATGCTAGCCGGTCGGTGGTTGTCAGCGTGGTCCCGGTTTAACCGATAACTGAGAAATCAATTTTTGGTTAAACCGAAACCGACCGACTGACAGCCCTACTTGTGGGTGTGAAGTTTCGGTGAGAGACTCAGAAGAGTATAATTCGCGAATCGATGAATTTTTCGGAATCAAGCGTCTGGAGGAATGTGGATGGGATAATAAATTGGGACTAGTGCGTATTAGTGACCAAAATCATATAATTTGGAATCATTAATTACCTATATGTGTATATCGATACCTACAATTGTACGTAGTAAGATTATAGAGGTAAACACAAAATTTTGGAATCATAGTTTCGTACAATTGAAAGGTTTTGTAAATTATCGACTGCAAAGAAAGATCTAACAAAATTTAACACATATGAAAACATAACATAGTATAGAACTTCACGTATGAAATTTAGCTACATCGCCAATATAATTTTGTTTCCATGGGAATAAAAACATAATATTATTAAACATATACACATAGGATGAAGGGGAATGTAAATTTGAAAGTTTCCAATCAAAGAGGGGGCATTGTAACTTCTTTATTTATAAAAATGAGTTCGTAGCACCAATGCAGTCAAAATCGCGCTTTAAAACTTAAAAGCTTACGCTTTTACCTTTTTGAGTCATCAAAACGCTTCTACGTAGAATCGTGATTTTCCCTTACAAATGTAGTCAAAATCTGCGTTTTAAAACTTAAAAGCTTACGATTTTACGTTTCTAGGTTACCCAACCGCTTCTAGGTAGAATCGCGCTTTTGACTGCATTGCGTAGCACCACTTCTTCATACTGATTAATCAAATGAATGACACGGTCGTTAATAGAGCCCTACGGAAATTAATACGCAAAGTCTTGATCCAAGTAACCACCTAAATAAGAGATGAAGACTCAAGAGTAGCCTCAATGAAATAAACCGTCGGTTTGAAAATTAGTTGGAGATATTAATTGCAAGTGTGTCAACATATTGAATTGAATCGAATCAAATGGGCGCCATTATTTGGACTGGAAAGTGTCCAAAGTAACTTGTCTATCTACAGCTACAGCCAGCCGGTCCAGTCCATGTCGTCGCCGCGTAATTGCCACTGCCAGTGCCTTAACCGCTTTCCTTCCTTTCATTAGTTTAAGACATTTGGCACTTCCGCTGCAGCCTCTCTTGATTTCTTCGTCCAACATTCTCCGCATGCGCCCAACAGCAGCTCACTCGGACAATAATTTTGCATTTTTGTGAAGGAAAAGATTCAAGTTACATATTAATACTGTATGCAGGCTGCAGCTGGGAACAACTAATGGTCATAAATCTTATTTTGTTCTCTTGTTGTACTCGTACAAGTTGTACTGTTCTCTTGTATGAAATCGACCGCCACCAATATAAATAGAATCTTAATTCCACAGAAACAAAACCAAAATAATTAAAAAGATCTTCCCACTTGTTACCTCTTTAGAATTGAAGGAAAAATGCTTTTCTTTCCCTTTTGTTTTGGTTTACATATGATAATGATTTAAAACAAGTTGTTAGACCTTTGGGATCTATAACCAGGATCGTTTCACATGAAACGAAAGATAAGTTTATGAACTCATTCGTCTTGATTAAGGTAAAAGTGAAGTAAACTATTAAGAATTGTCGCCATAGGTTCGCAATGGGTCGTCCAGATGAGAAATTCCCACAGTTAATTGGCCACGGTATAATTAGTATGGACAATTTCATATGGGAAAACAATAATAATTGTTTGTGGGAAGGGACAAGTAATTCGAACCCCAACAAGGTTCTGCTGTGCTTCAATAATATTTTTTGATTGCCAATAAGCAAAGAGTAATTTGAATTGACTCGTTATAAGTAACTTGTTTTGTAAAATGGGACAATTACAAAGAAGTCACTTTGTGAGGTAAATAGCTAGGTTCACATCCGAACTAATGTATTTGACTTAAGAATGGCGATGTGTCAACTTGTTCGGTACCACAATTGTCATGATTCTATGGGTATTGGGTGTTGGGGGTATGGCTCGGGTCTAGTTGCGCCAATAAGTTAGTCCAGCGCCACCCCAAAAGAACCACTCACTCTAGCACCATCGCGCTCAAGATAAGGAGTAACTCGCGGAAAGACCATAGCCGCGGAAAGGACTACACTCGCAGATTGGGTTCCGCGAGACGGGACGCACACGCAAGTACCAAAGTGCCAAACGATGCCATTTTGCTCAACTCGGGCCGAATCAAGAAGCCAAGAAACGACATTGTATTCCCTGAAGAGTGGTCACATCCTAGTCCTAGGTATAATCATGGACTAAGTGTCTAGCCCTAGGCATAGTCATTGTCTAAGCGCCTGACAAATTCAGTAGTCATGTCGCATTAAATACCCACCCACCACAATGTAGCCTATAAATACAGCATTTACTCCGGTGGGTGAGGGGATCGCATTTTTACTCTCTCACTATATAATATCAATTTCTCTCTCTAAGATCTCCCCTCTCCCAATCACAGTTGTTTGTAATCTCATTCCAGCGGAAGGAAAGAAGATCATGTTGCTTACTCTCCTCATTTGCCCTTTTACTCGAGTCTCACTCCTACTCTCAGTTAGACTCAAACAATTGGCGCCCACCGTGGGGCCTGAGTACAGAAGCAATAGGAAAGCAAGTCATGATGGAGGAACAAAATCTTAACACTCTCAATGAAGCAACGCCAATCAAGGTGATGAGGAACCCAAGACTGTTCGCGGAAGCTAGCAACCTCAACGCGGTCTTAATCGAAGAAGAGGAGCCAGAGCTGACGGCCAAGGAGGTCTGCTAG